AATTTGTTCCATTTGGAGCAATCCAATAATGATCATAAATTTTGTTACATTCAGATACAACCACATGTACTCACATTGACCAACTTCTTATTGCTCGACTTATTTTATGATAATAACCCACAAAAGAAGTCTTAATTACTGACACCAACTGTGAAATAATAACGCTAATTAGTGACTTAATTTAAAATTAGTGAGGCATGTTATCACAGTTCTGGAGGGCCATTTCTCTGACCATTTGTAGACTTTTTTATGTACAAAAATCTTGGGAGAGACGAATCCTCTTGGAAGCATCATTTCTTTTTCTGAACAAGAAGAGATCACCTCATCCAATTATTCCCTATCTTAGTAAATCCCCCTAAAATACTTCCAAAACATTTCGAAGTTCGAGCAACCCCTCGTGGCCTTGGGGTTACAGATGAAAACACACCGACCCATCTGCCCTCTTGCTGTTGGCAGACCACTTATTTTTTCCTTTTTATAGATCATGATGCTGTGGGGAATCAATCAGACCAAGAAAACCATGTGCTCACATGAAACCATGATACGTGGATCAATACACAAAAACTATTATTATTATTATTATTATTATATATAATAGTTTTTGAAACCAGAATAACAACCGAATTAACGATAATAACTGAACAATACATTAAAATCCCATGAATTAATGAAAGCCATATGTGGAAGTAACCCCCCACTACAATAAGAAATTAAATTGATGTAAACAAACCCCTTCCAAATTAAACACCAAGTAGGTGTTGAGCATTTTCGACCAAAAAAAAAAAAAAGTAGGTGTTGAGCAGAGCTGCTAATTAATTAGGGGTAATTTAATTTAATTAAAAACAGTGTTACTGTGTCTGCATGCATGGGTTTGATAAATTTATATGTCTCTGTCTCTCTTGCACTCCGGTGGGAGAGTGGGGTATCTGACTCTGTCAGTGCAGTAGTTGTAGATGGTGAATTTCTGGCGGACCCACTTGAGCCTCCTCCATTGATAAGCATCAAGGTCCTGGAACTCCTTCTGGTCCCACCATCTCTGGCCCTGCGTGGCACAGAATTTGGCCTCCACCGAGGCCTCACAGCCGTCGATGTGGAAGCCCTTGTACGTGGCAATGAAAGGGGCCTTGGACCAATCGGTCTTTTCCAGCCCACCCCTTGTGGCCCAATCGTCTGCGTTCCACAGGCTAGAGTATAGCTTCATGGGTTGGTTGAATGGGAATTTCACTCCCAAATCTTTGCTGTTTTTGAACACCCTGATTGGTATGTCGTCCACGAAGAATCTGATTTCATGACCATACACAAACATAAAAAGACACATTAGCCCCATATGGGATCTTACCAAATATTATAAGACGAAAACATGATTTCATCATCGACCGTATCAAAAAAGTTGGAAAAAAGAAAAAGTGGGAAGAAAAAATGGACTCTCTCCCCCCCACCCAACGAAATAGGGTATTTGGGTTGGGTTGGCTACCGTGTTCAAAAGTTTTGTCGGTTGAAAAAATGCGCGAGTTTAGTCCAATCATGGGTGTTTTTTTTGGAAATCCACTCAATCGTTCAAACTCGATAATTTAGAGTATCGCTTGTACCAAAATAAAAAGTAACTTCGATTTACTAGGGAATGGCTGGCTACGTTTTTTTTCTCTCTTCATTTCTCAAAGGAATTTTTCTAGCTTTTTATAGATACTACTTTGGTTATTAATTTATACCGAAAATTGTGCATTAATTGAGACATGAAATTTGCTGAAACTAGTAGACTTTTTAATATGCATAAGAAAACAGAGGAAATTTAAGGCAGAAAGGGTGAAAGAGGAACTTACACAATCTGGTAGAGATTCCAGAGGACAGAGTAGGAGTGGTAAGCTGTGGTTGGGTCGAACCAGAGGAAAATCCTCTGTTCTCTATCACCCTTTCCTCCGGTGAACACATTGGTCTGCAAAATGTAAGGCTGCCCTGTCCTGTTTCCCAGGAACTCAAAGTCTATCTCATCGTGCTCAGCGTTTTGAGAAG